AGGAGGAGGAGGAGGAGGAGGAGAGGAGGAGGAGGAGGAGGAGGAGGAGGAGGAGGAGGAGGAGGAGGGGGAGGGGGAGGTGGAGGAGGAGGTGGAGGAGGGGGAGGAGGAGGAGGAGGAGGAGGAAGAGGAAGAGGAGGAGGAGGAGGAGGGGAGGAGGAGGAGGAGGAGGAGAGCCCCCCCAACGGCACCGCCTGGGCAGGACGCACGGAGGCCCCGAGAGTCGGGGGCGCGCAAACATGGATTAACGATCCATAGACTTGGCGCGCGGTCGCCAAATCCATGGATCGGAGGAGGTGCCCTCACTACAATGCGGCCGGCGCCGCCTCGCTCGGCGGCGTAATCCTTGATTTTTCCAATGGAAACGGGACCCGTCACTGATCTGCGCCCCCGTGATCCACGTTTGCGATCGCCCGAGAGAGGCATGACCGCACCACCAGCTGCACGAGAGGCGCGAATCCCCCGAGGGAAGCGGGTCCTGGGTCGGCGGCGAGCGAGGGGGTTGAGCGAGAAGGACAGGGCCGTCTCTGCAAGCTCGGGAGTTCCCCGGCCTTCTGCGAAGGTTTCTACGCCTTCCCCGAGGACGCAACAGAACCTCTCAGAAGGCGCTGGGGCTTCCCTGGGAAGTCTCGCCGTCTTCTGAGAAGGCCTCTCCTTCTCACTTCCACCCCCTTGCTCGCCACCAAACGGGGGGGGGGCCACCACCGGACAACTTCTGCCCCGAATCCAACCCTTATCCCGCACCTGGCCACCACCTGGTCACCACCTGGCCTGGCGCCCCCACCTTCCAGACCTGTGCTCTTGCCCCCCCCCGGAATATTTCTGGTCCAGATCCCACCCTGACCCCCAGCTGGCAGTGTGCGAGAAGGGGCTTCGCAACTCGTGGCCAGAGGCACGTGCGCGGCACAGGGCAGGAGGCCAAGAGACGCATGGAAGTGATGGGAGGGAGGCCCGAAATACGGGAGATAGCATGGCCCCAGCTTGGGGCCAGGCTGTCCCTCCCATCCAGACATCATGCCCCTCTTGGACGCTCCCGATGGCAGCCCCGGGGGGCCCGTGGGCCGCCACCCCTGGCCTCTGGAACTGTCACAAGACGACTCCGGGGTGAAAGACTGGTTCTGGTGAAGGCCCCTAGAGCTGTGGATGCCATGGCAATAGACACCCTAAACAATCTGATAGTTGAGTTCAAATATGTTTAAAATTTGTGGAACATGTTTCAATCAGGAACATATGTTTCAAGGTTCGCAACATGTCTATACATGATTGAGGCATATGGAAATTATTTGGCAACATGTTTCTTCTCCATTGACCGTCCTCCACAACCCTACGAGTCCAGGCCCCGCTTCCGGGGGAACGAAAAGATATTGATAACCCTACTCCCAGGATCTCTTCTGGGGCGCGATCTGACCAGAATCCCACCAGCCCTTTGGGCGTGGGCGGTCTCGGGAGGTTCCTTTTCAAACCCCCTTCTTTCCCTTCGAGGAGGGGTTGATCACTGTTCCCTATCAAAATACACTATCTCCCCCAGGCGACCGGCGGCCAACCAGGAACAATGAGGACCCACACCTTCCCTGTCAAACACACACAAACACACACATTCACACACACAGACACACTCTGCCTCCAATTTTGGAGCATGCGCGGCCGACCCGTTGCGCGCCCCTCCACCACACCATCCCTGTCAAATAACAATGCAAACTACCTTTTGGGCAAAGTCTTGAATCATGTTCTTGAGGCCCGCGAGCACTCTGTATTATTTTTTTGTTTAAGCGGCGGGCTGTCGGCATATTACCTGCTGCGCGCAGGGCCACCATTCCTGACCAACAAAAACAACACAAAGTGCTCCTCGCGGCTAAATCTGGATCATGTGCGGCCACCCCGCGATCACTGTCACGTGGTTTTTGACAGCGACGGCGGTGATGGTGGCGTATGGCCTGCTGTGCGCAGGCCCACCAGGTACGATGATTGGCATTGGTTTTCGACAAGGATGGTGGGGGCCGACATGTTTCCCGATGTGTGCTGTCACGTGCGCAGGTGCACCTGACACCCTCCGCACGTGCCCCGAACGTGGCGCACCTGGCGCGGCTGGAGTATGCGGCACACCTGGCGCACGCGGAGCATGTGGCACATTTGGCGCACCAGACGTGCCTGTCACGTCACGCTCGGGCCCCAGGGGTGCCTGGCGCGCGTGGCGCGCCTGGCACGCGTGGCGCGCCTGGCACGCGTGGCGCACCTCGCCCCAGCGTCGCGCACATGAGGTCGGTGTTGGTTCCCAGTAGCTACCCATCCAGAGACGACCGCTGAATATGCTCAGGCTCGGGCATTACTTTTGTGTTGGGAGGGCGGGTGGGGGTGAGCTAGACGGCTTGCGGGCGAGTGGGCAGCTTGACCCCTTCCCTTTACCCCCTCCCTGGACCTGGACGGGGCGCCCCGCGAGGTGTCAGAGGGTACGTTGTCGCCCAAGATGGCTCCATGAGGGCCTCAAAGAGCCGAAGATGACCTCCAAGATGCCTCAAGATAGCCCATGACGCTCCAATACAGTTCCAAGTGGCCTCCAAGACCTCCAAGGAGGCCCCTAGGAGGCACCTAGGAGGCCCAAAACTTAAATGTAAATGGTTGTTGCGTTCTCGCCTTTTCGCTTCCGATGGCCACCCGAGAGGCCTCAAGATGGCTCCAATATGGCCCAAGAGAGCCCCAGGAGAGGCCCGATGTTCGGTGCTCCCGAAGGGGGAGGCTAATTGGAGCTCACCTGTTGTTTGATCGATGCCCTCGAAGATGGCCCCAATAGCTCCCCTAGAGCTCCCAAGAGCGGACCAGGAAGGCCCCAAGAGGCGCCCAGACGGCCCCAAGAGGCATCCAGGAAGCCTCCAAGAAGCTCCCAAGAAATCCCCAAGAGACCTCAAGACGATGCCCGAGGCACCCAAGACGCTTAAAGACGGCCCGGGGCTCGCCAAGATGCCCCTTCTCCTCCTCCTCCTCCTCGTCCTCTTCCTCCTCCTCCTCCTTGTCTACTGTCTCGTCCTCCTTCCTCCTCTTCGCCCTTCTTCTCCTTCTCCTCCTCCTTCTCCTTCACCATCCTCCCCGTCTTGGGGTAGCGGACGGCGTCCCACACCCTTTGTTCTTCTGCATGCTTTCCCACTTCCCTTATCACACTAACTCCTCTGGGCATCGTTTCTGGATGGACTGGTGGGAATACTTTTTGGTCAGCGGCCGCAGGCAAGCGCGCCAGCGGCGAGTCCAGTCAGAGCGGGGCGCGCACAGACGAATTAACCTAAAGCGGTGGGCTAGAGCCTCACGCAGCACCTCAGCGGCGAGCCGTCGAGTGGAAAGGGCAAGCGGTACGCGGGTCACCAGTACTGCCGAAGCCATGTGCAACTAGTCGGAGCAGCGGGCGGCCAGGGTAACCGGCAACCAGGGAAAGCTGCAGACGGGAATTAGGTGCATGGGGGCGAGCCCCCGGACTACTGCGAAAGTACCAGGGTGGCCGCAGCCAAGTAAACCGACGGTCGGAGGTCGAATTGGGTGCCCAGACTGGGCATGTACATCGGCAAGCTGCGAGGTACCAGGGACTGGTGGGGATACTTTTTTTCGATCTGCGGCCCGCAAGGAAGAGTCCAGAGGGCGTGTCAATCGGGCTGACTGGGGAAACTGGTGGGGACACTTTTTTGTTCGGCGGCCCGCAAGGAAAAGTCCAGAGGGCGTGTCAACTGGTGGGGATACACGACGCGTCAAAACTTTCGAGGAGAATCCAGCCGTGACGACGAAGGATCTCCAAAACGAGCAGCATGGATGCGTAAATTTAAATGTGTACATTATATATACATCTACAGTTGTGTGGTTCCTCTTCTGAACTTCGCTCAGGGCCTCCTTCCTTCATGGCGAATATTTGGAGGGTTCAGGCACTGCGTCCACCATTATACTCGGCTACACGCACGAGTGACTGACCTTTGGTGCGCGGCTTGTGTCTGTATGCGTGCGCAGGCTGCGCAGCCAAAGGACGGACGGTGGTGGCGACAGTATCCGCACAAGTGTCCGCACGAGGGGATTAAGCGGGGCGGGGCAAGGGCGCCCAAACGCGTGTGATCGAAAACCACCGCACGAGATAGCGGGCTAGCAGGCATTGCCAGAATGTGCTAAGCTAGCCGCAAGGGGACCAAACCCAAGCGCGCAAGACACACGTATCGCAGTATCGCATCGCACTCGGCGATCGGGGGACCCCAATGGGCCCGCACCAAAGGTCACTCCGGCGAAAGGTCACTCTGTAAGTGTAGTCGATCCACCTGGCGGAACGCCAAGTGGTCGAGGGCGGCGTGCTGCTGCGGGCGGCGTGACGGCAAAGGGGCGTGAGCGAGGAATCGGGGCCAGCCTCCCCGAGAAGGCACGGTGGGGAGGGCTTCCGAGCAAGCACCCTGCGCCACCATACTACCGGGAGGCCTTCCGGACAGAACTCACGAAGAAACGGGGTTCCCTGCTCCGAAGATCGCGCCCGTCCATGAGGGGCCTCCCAGATGGGGTCGGAGTAGATGGGGTTGGAGGATCGCGCCGAATCGGCGATGCATCGGCGACACATCGCCGATGCTTTGGCGATGCGTCGGCGGCGTCGGCGAGGTCTCGACACCATCGGCGTGGAGAACATCGGGCTCGACATCGGTCAGCATCGCCGATGCATCGGCGATGCACCGCGATCCTCCGACCCCGTCTACTCGGACCCCATCTAGGAAGCCTAGATCCATCTCCTCTCGCTCAACACTGAATTCCCAGGACACCTTTGTGGACAGCCTCCTCACGAGTTTCTGGGTTGCTTCTGGCTGTAGCCACAAGCCTGCCCCAAATGAAAAAACTCAGTCCTCCATCTCATCTCCCCCCCTCCTTCTCCCATCTACCCCCTCGCCTTGCTCGGCGGAAGATGGAACATCGGGGCTAGCCCTCTCTGAATTTGGCACGCTAGTGATGCGTCAAGACAACCGTCAGTCTTCAAGAAGTAGTGCGTCCTTGCCCAGCGCGGCACCGAAACCAAAATCAACCATCGCAAAATCGTTCAAGATCTTGCGTTCCCGCCGTCCCGGATATGTAGGGATATTCCCCCTGCAACTTACCGACTTGCTCATACCCCCCTCTAGCACGCCGCCAACACTGATCGCCTCTGGAGCTCAACCGTGGAAGTGACCAGACACCTCTGCGCCAAGATGGTTGAACAGCTCTTGCTGAGACTCGCGCTGCGTGGAGCTCGAGCTGTGCGAGCTGCCCGAGCTGTGCGAGCTGCCCGAGCTGTGCGAGCTGCTCGAGTTGTGCGAGCTGCTCGAGTTGTGCGAGCTGCTCGAGTTGTGCGAGCTGCTCGAGTTGTGCGAGCTGCTCGAGTTGTGCGAGCTGTGCGAGTTGTGCGAGCTGTGCGAGCTGTGCGAGCTGCTCCTCGTCGAGGTCACCTCCGAGGGCGGACAAGGGGGGGTCAGCGGTGCGCAGATGGGGGAGGGCAAGAGGACCGCCTCCCGAGAACACAGGAGGCACCTCGAAGGCGGCAGAAGAAACACACACTCGGCAGGGACGTAACCTTTCAGAGACCCGCCGGAGGCGCACGAGGTCCCAGGGGCCTGGGCCTGCGAGTGCTCAGTTGACACTGGAGGAAAGACAAGCAAGGACCATGACCAAAATGTCTCGGGAGCCTTGAGACGGGGGTCAATACAAATGGGGGTCAGCCAGGACACCGGATCCTGCAAGATCCTGCGAAGACCTGCATTGCATGTGTTTCCTGCATTGCAACTTTTTGGTTTCATGCTGACCGGGGTCTGGATTGACCCGGGTCAGAATATTCCCGAATGTCGCGGGATCTTGTCCGTGCCGGTCTTGGTCGTGGTTCATGTTGGCCGTCGCTGATTCGCGAGGATGATGCGCGGAGCTGACGCTGACCCAGATCGAAGCTGACCAACATCGGCACATTTCTGCGTGCATTCTTGGTCATGGCCCCCTGTTCCTTCCGGGGGCGCGCAAACATGGATTAGCGATCCATGGACTTGGCGCGCGGCGCGCGGTCGCCAAATCCATGGATTGGGGGAGGTGCCCTCCCAACGGCCGGTGCCGCCTCGCTCGGCGGCGGGAACCAGCGATTTCTCATGAAAACGGGACCTGTCGCTAATCCACGCCCCCTTGATCCATATTGGGGTCGCCTGATCCTTCCCCTCCACTCGTGCTAACGCCGCTCTTCCCCCGAAAACCTGCCTTCCAGGTCTGCACCTCTCGTTCTAGGGGCGGCTTCGCCGGAGGCCCGGCCGCCCCCCCCCGCCCCCCGAGCCCACCGACCTTGCCCGTGCCGCCGACGGGTGGCAGGTGGGAGGACGGCGGCGGCGAGAAGTGGGGGAGGGGAGCCGGGAGGAGGGGGTCGCTAGCGACGCAAACACCGACGTCCACGCCCTTTCGGTCTGGATTCCCGGGCGCGATCCCGTGGTCACGCGGGGATCTGGACACGTTTCCCGCTCACGAGGGGGGGAGGGAGGGAACATGAGCTTCCCAAGTGAAGGGGCCCTGGGACACACAAATAAATAGACACAAATTACAGGAGTCACCATATTTTCCCGGAAAGGGCTCGAGCCCAGGGTTCTCTTTTAGTGGGTTTACCCACCGGTTTTTACTTGAAGGGGGCCGGCGGAATTCTTGCGCGATAAATTACGAAGTCGAAGGGGGCCGGCGGATTTCAACTGTGAGGACGAAGGCCATTTTTCGCCACCCCTCACGCAGATCGTGCTCTTGGAATTTTACTGCCTTTAAGGAAACCTCGATATTTCACAGGTGAAGTCCACTTTTTGTTCCGACATCGACTTTAAACGATAAAAAAACAAAGTAAACGCGTTCGCTCGATAAATAACGAGGTACCGCGGCCTCCGGAACGGCGCTGGGAACGGAGTTTTGGATTCTTGAAGTTGCATAAGTTCGGAAATAGCAGAAATCCCCTGTGTTTTTTGACCCTGACCCCGCCGATCTGCGTCAGGTGTGGCACGGAATACCAGAAATGTGTCAAATCCCATGTGTTTTTGGACCCTGACCCCGCCGATCTGCGTGAGGGGTGGCGCGGAATTCCAGAAATGTTGCAAATCCCCTATGTTTTTGGACCCTGACCCCGCCGATCTGCGTGAGGGGTGGCACGGAATTCCAGAAATGTGGCAAGTCCCATGTGTTTTCGGACCTTGACTTCGCCCAGGAGGGCCCAGGAGAGCCCAGGAGGGCCCAGGAGGTCCAAGGAGGGCCCAGGAGCCCTTACGAGGGATCGTGGCCCCGGGAGCGCTGAGGTAGCGTAATTTACGAGGGATCGTGGCCCCTGGGGGCGCGGGTGTAGTGTAATTTGAGGATGTCTCGAGCGAAACGCTTGTTTTTTCCAGAATTTGTTGAGGATGTCTCGAGCGAGACGCTGGTTTTGCAGAGTTGGGGATGTCTCGAGCGAAACGCTTGGTTTCAGAATTTGTTGGGGATGTCTCGAGCGACGCGCTGGTTTTGCAGAGCCGACCGCGACACGGAAACGCGCCCCTCGCGCAGGAATTCCCAGGATGTCTCGCGCGTGCCGCGTCCCGCGCGCGGGTATTTGGATTTCTTTGGATTTTGACAGGATGTCTCGAGCGAAACGCTCGTTTTTCCTAATTTGTCGAGGATGTCTCAAGCGAAACGCTGGTTTTGCAAAATTGGAGGATGTCTCGAGCGGTGGCCTCGTGGGGGGGCCAGACTTCAAAGAATGTCTCAGGTGAAATGCTTGTTTTCACGTCCCGCTCGCAAGAATTCAGAGGATGTCTCGCGCGTGCAGCGTCCCGCGGGTAGGAATTCCGATAATTTTGATAGGATGTCTCGAGCGAAACGCTTGTCCCCAGCACGTTCCGTAGCGCGTCCCCTTGGCACGTCCCGCGGTGCGTCCCCATGGCACGTCCCTTGGCACGTCGCTTGGCGCGTCCCTTGAGACGTTCTGCGTCGCGTCCTCCTGGCATGTTCCCCTGTCCATTAGCTCTGGGGCAGCTACTATGTGTTCAGGCAGCTCGAGCTTAAGATCCAGATCAGTTCGGTCAGGACTCGGATGCAAAGGAGGACTCGATCCACGAGGCTATAGAGCACAATCGCGCCATGGCACATCGCAATTCAGCACGGCGCAGCACAGCACTGATTTCGGCACGGTACATCAAGGTCGATACACTCAGCATTGCAACTTGGCACGTTCCTTGGCACGTTCCGTGGGGCGTCCTTTGGCGAGTCCCCCTGGCACGTCGCGTGGCCCAGCACGTTCCGTAGCGCGTCCCCTTGGCACGTCCCGCGGTGCGTCCCCATGGCACGTCCCTTGGCACGTCGCTTGGCGCGTCCCTTGAGACGTTCTGCGTCGCGTCCTCCTGGCATGTTCCCCTGTCCATTAGCTCTGGGGCAGCTACTATGTGTTCAGGCAGCTCGAGCTTAAGATCCAGATCAGTTCGGTCAGGACTCGGATGCAAAGGAGGACTCGATCCACGAGGCTATAGAGCACAATCGCGCCATGGCACATCGCAATTCAGCACGGCGCAGCACAGCACTGATTTCGGCACGGTACATCAAGGTCGATACACTCAGCATTGCAACTTGGCACGTTCCTTGGCACGTTCCGTGGGGCGTCCTTTGGCGAGTCCCCCTGGCACGTCGCGTGGCGCGTCCCCTGGCACATCCCGTGGCACATCCATTGGCACGTTCCGTAGCGCGTCCCCTTGGCACGTCCCGCGGTGCGACCCCATTGCACGTCCCCTGGCACGTCGCCTGGCGCATCCCTTGGGACGTTTCGCGGCGCATCCTCCTGGCATGTTCCTCTGTCCATTAGCTCTGGGGCAGCTACTATGTGTTCAGGCAGCTCGAGCTTAAGATCCAGATCAGTTCGGTCAGGACTCGGATGCAAAGGAGGACTCGATCCACGAGGCTATAGAGCACAGTCGCGCCATGGCACATCGCAATTCAGCACGGCGCAGCACAGCACTGATTTCGGCGCGGTACATCAAGATCGATACCTTCAGTATTGCATTTGCCCGTCACCCAATCAAATGTCTTTGAAAACGCTGCCATGTGTTACAGTTCTACATTCCTTTCCGGGTTCGTGGGTCGATCATGTTCCCATACGTTCTGAATGTTTGTCTTCCCCCCCACTTCCCGTATGTTCCTCGGAGTCGACGCTTACTTGTGTCTGTGTGTTTCTCCTCTCCTGACATTAGCTTCCTAGGCGGGAACACACGAGAACCAACACAGACCTCTTGAGGTCAGCAAGGGCTTCTGACCCTCCTGGCGGCGCCTCCGGTGCCGCCTCCTTGCCATCGCTCGGACGTCCATTCCCTGTGCGTTCGGTTTCGTGCGTGTTTTTGTTTGCTCGATGGTCCAAGATGCTCCTCCAGGGTCCTCGCCGCGAGAAAAATGCACAGGTCCGAGCGATGCCAGGAGTCAGCCGGGATTTCTGACCCTCCTGGCGGAGCCTCCGGTGCCGCTTCTGGCGCGCTGGGCGCACCAGAGGGGGGTCCAATGCCGATCCAAGAAATCCGCGCAAGCCTCCGAAAGTTCGGAGGGGAGGTGAGAGCGGGAGAGGATGTGCGGAGGCAGCTCCTGGGTTGGGTGGCCTTCGTGGGAACGATTGGGGACTCTCCAAGTATTGAGCCAGGTTGGGCCGGATGAAACCCTGGGCCACTCAAGCTGGATTAGCCAGGATCTCGCTGGGCAAGGCCTGATTTCGAATCCACACTTGTCAACGCCGATGCAAAAATTCATCCTTCCAGGAATTGCACCATTCAGGAAAACGGATCCTGGAGAAGGGAAACGGGACAGGCGGGAGGAAGATTGGGAGGAGGACCTTGCTCTTATTCGCACCGTATCTTTGATCCTCTGGCAGCTCGTACAGTGTCCAACAGTGGTTCGGCCCCTGGTCGCACTCCTCTCCCAATAGGTCGCAATGCCCCTGGTTCGCATGCATCGATCTCGGGTCGTCCGGGCATTTCTCATGCTGGAAATTCACCGCGAAGCAGCCCTCAGTCTCACGGCACGTCTCCACACACACGTGCTCATTTGGGGCAAGGAGGGTTCTGAGCGAAGCCGATTTCCAATTCTTGCAGCCAACTTCGACCGTGGTCACGGAGTCGCCTACACCAAGCGAGTGGGAATGGATGATGCTGTCGATGCCATCGGACGATAGCGAGGTGGCTGCGGCGGTGGGCACGACCTCGATGGCGCGCGTAGGCCTCCATGTGAAAGTAAGCGCCAACAGAGCTGTGCACACGACGGCGGCTGTGGAAACCGCGCTCATGCGCCGCGACGCCGCCCAGCCAACACCCGTGAGCGCCGCTCCCCCTGCGTCTTCTTCGCTTGCGGCCTCGTCCGCGAAATCTGGCACCAACCGCGGCGACTCGTCGACAACCCGGGCCATGGCGGCCAGCTGCGTAGCCGGTGCTTGAGGTGATCGCCGATGTCCCCGAATGGGCAGCTCCTGGGCCTCTGAAGCAAAATGAGCACCATGGTGATGACGGTGGTGATGGTGGGCGGTGGCGATCGGCACGCGCGCGAACGCGCGCTCAGACACACACACACACACACAGACACAGACACAGACACAGGCACAGGCACAGACACAGACACAAACACATATGCGCGCGCACACAGAAACACACACACACACACACGCGCGCACACACAGACTGCTTCAGGGCTAAACCTAAACGTTGATTTTCGTTTCGTGCTCGTTCTGCTTTTCGTTCTGCTCTGCCCGTTTTCCCGTGCCTGGACCGCTTGGTGTCGCAGCCACGCGCGCAGCGACGCGGCGGAGTCAGTCAGCTGGGAGCCCGGAGAGCGCCACCGGAGACATGGTGAGAGCGGCCGGGGGCTCACGCAGCCTTCGGCGGGGAGCACGGCGGGTGCACGCAGTGCTCACCCACAGGGAAGACTCGCAGCTGCCGAGGAGGACGAGCGACGGGCCAGGGAGGAGGAGGCAGGAGGGGCAGCGCGCGAGGGTGCGCCCTGGCGGCGGGCGGAGGAGGCAGACCGTGCGGTCCTCTCGGGGGGGGTGCGCCGCGAGACTCGTGCCGCCGGAGCCCTGGGACGGGCCACGGCGGAAGCCCAGCGAGGGGAGGGCGCGTGCAGATGAGGCAGGCAGAGGCCGAGCGACAAAGGGCCTGAAGGCGGAACGCCATGAAAGGGGGGCGAACACGCGCACACACACACATTCTCACACATTCTCTCTCTCTCTCTCTCTCTCTCACACACTCACACACACACACTCATACACACACCAACATGGGCGCACACACGCACACACGCACACTCACACGCACACGCGCGCACACACACGCTTACGTACACACACACACACACGCACACACACACACACGCACACACACAAACTCTCACACACACACACACACACACACACACACACACACACACACACACACACACACACACACACACACACACACACACACGCGTTTTGGCGTCGCGCCACGTGCGCGGCTGCGCAGCGGAGGGCAACGCACGTTTTGTCGGCAGCTCTTCGGGTTCAAGACGCGATCGAGGCAGCCGAGGGGCGCCTCGGAACTGAATCAAGAACGAACCTTACCCCGACGGTCGGACCCGGCATGAGAGCCCTCTCGGCAAATCTAGAACAAACCCTCCTCGTCGTGGAGCGCCCTTACCGTCTCCTCTGCGCCGTTCTCCTTCTCGCCCTGGCGCAAACCCGAGAATGACGACACTTACAAAATTCGGATCGCCCGCGCGGATTACTAATTAACGTAATCCGCGAGCCCCATACGGAGGGGGCTCCCGCCTGAGGGCCTACTTCCTCGCATCCCACTCACGGACGAGGCTCCTGCACGGGACCCCCTCCAAATTCAAGACGCGGGGTTGCCCGAGCGTGACATCAATTACAAGGTTCGGATGGCCCGCTCGGATTCATAACATGATCTGCTGGCCCTATACGGAAGGGGCTCCTGCCTGAGACTTCCTCGAATCCCACCAGCCCTCTGGGCGTCGGTGGTTTAGAAAGTTTCCTCTTCCACCGCTCCTTCTTCCCCTTCGGGGAAGGGTTTTACCCCTCCCCCTACCCCCTCCCCTGGACCTGGACAGGGGGTTCAGCGAGGTGTCGGAGCGTCCAAAACGGCCTCGGCGAGGAAGCCAACATCATTGGTTTTACTACGGTTTTGGCCCAATGTTGGCCTCCTGAGGGGGGACCCTAATTAAAGCTCCCCTCTTGATTGATCGATCTCCTCCAAGATGGCCCCAAGACGCGCCCAGGAGGCCCCAAGAGGTCCCAAGATGGCCCCAATATGGCCCCAAGATGGCCCCAAGAGGCCCCCAAGAGGCCCCCAGGAGGCCCCCAGGAGGCCCCCAAGAGGCCTCAAGAGACCCCCCAGAGGCACCCAAGATGCTCCAAGAGGCCTCGGCGAGAATGCCAAATCATCGATGTTACGAAGGTTTTGGCCACATGCTGGCCTCCTGGGGGTGGCCTGATTAAAGATGACTCCAAGAGCGCCTGGGAGAGCCAAACATGACCTCCAAAATGGCTCAAGATATCCCAAGATGTCTCAGATGGCTTCCTCTGCGTGCTGCCCACTTCCCTGATCGAGGCAATTCCTCTGGGCATCGTTTCTGGATGGGCTTGTGGGGATCCGCGAAGCGTCAACAATTTCAATCGGGGACGAGGTTCCCGCACGAGACGTCCTCTAGATTCAAGGCTCGGGGTCGCATGACCCGCTCAGATTGATAACATGATCTGCGGGCCCCATACGGGGGGGGGAGTCCCGCCTGCGACTTTCTTCAAGTTTAATCACGAATGGGGCTCACGCTTAAGACTTCGTGAAGGTGAACGCGTGTGCGTGCGATGACGATGATTATGAACCTGATACAGCGAAAGTGATGATGATGACGATATGTTGGTAACGGGCGAAAATGTGATAACGATGGTGCTGCGGGTGGTATTGCGTGGTGAGTGTGGCTGATGATGATGATGATGATGATGATGATGATGATGATGATGATGATGATGATGATGATGATGATGATGGTGTGAGTGATTGATTGAGAGGTGGAGGACTTGTGAGTGATGATGAGGGGGCTGATGCTGTCATGACGATGGTGCGTGAATCATGCATTGAATGATGCAGTTTTGGAACCCTCTTGGGGGCCGTTTTGGAGCCTCTGGGGGCCTCTTTTTGAAGCTCTTGGGTGGCCTCTAGGGGGCCTCTTGGGCTGTCTTGGGGTCCTCTTAGGGCCTCCAGGGGGGCCTCTTAGGGGCGGAATGCTCGAATTGTCGGTTTGTGTTCCCCCTCTTGGGCCCCCTCTTGGGGCCATCTTGGAGCCTTCTTGGGCGATCTAGGGCGCCTCTTGAGCCGTTTTGGGGCCCTCTTGGACGGTCTTGGGGCCGTGTTGGGGGCCGCTTCGACCGTCTTGGGGCGTTCTTGGGGGCCTCTTGGGCCTTCTTGGGCCGTCTTGGAGCGGCGGGAAGCCGAAAAGGCGAGAACCCCAAGTACCTTCAAAAACAAAGTGTGCGCATTGGGGCCCTCTTGGGAACCCTCTTGGAGGCTCTTGGGGCGTCTTGGAGGCCCCTTGGGCCGTCTTGGGCTTGGGACATGTTGGGCGTCTGAGTGCGATCTTTGGCCGTGCCGGAGCCCTCTTGGACCATCTTGGGGGCCTTCTGGTGCCGTCTTGGAGGCCTCCTGGGCAGTCTGGAGGCTCCTTTGAGGCCCCGGGGAGGGGGTATCAACAAGTGTTCCTGGATGGTTGCGGACTGGCCACCCCAGGCCGGGAGGGTCTACTTATTCATGGATTCGATTTGTAGTGCGTTTACACAATCAAATAAAGCTGCAGTGTATTCATCGACAGACGGATTCAACGACAACCATGTGGAGACCACAATCGAAATAGTGACGATGTCGGGATCAGCAAATTTGACCACATAACGTTTGCCTTGAATTAGGGGGGCACAGACGTATACAGACTGTATGACTCGGCGTTTCGACTGCAATGCGATACACTGTCCCTGAGACTTGCAAAGCTGGCAGTCAGCTGATATACCTAGCTCTTCCTGCAGAAGTGCAAGACCTAGTCTCACTTGAACGCTCAGGGTCTCAAGTGACTCGATCTGAGCCTGCCCCAGGTCAACAAACTTGGCGCCTCATACGGCGCGACGCACGGCCAACTCAGAGAACTGTACCTGTCCAGCCCTTACCGCGAAGCGCAGTTCTCATCGTACGACCCCTTCGGGCGACCCAGGCAGTCGCCACAGGAGCAAACGATCTGACAGCGGCGAAACAGCAGCAACGACAGAACGCTTGATTTCTCGTGACTAGCTGCATCTCAAGCTTACTCAGCACGCCCCTCGCAAGGATCGGCGTTCGAAAGACTGCGGATACATTCTTTCAACAGCCTGGAGACAACTACGAGAGAAGATCATATGGCTGGCGCCATTCGGGCTAAAACAATCGAGAACCATGAAGTGACGGAGCTGGAGCACGAGACTTGATGAGGCTCCCCTGAGCCTGGCCGCGAACATGTGAGCACGCGCTGGCAGCTGGCCGTGCAGCTACGGAAGACCCACCGTGCGTTTGGCGCGCATAGCGGAGCGCCGTCGGGACGCAGATATGGTCCCGGGCAGAATTGCACCAAGACGATGGAGGAAGGAGACTGACGCTCGACTCCTGTGGGCCCTCTGGAGTTCTGGGGCGCTGTCGCGGGCTTCTGGGGTCTTTTCTGATGTGCGGCGGCTGGTCAGGCCCACATCGCCTGGTGAACGTTTCTTATTCGGCGGTTCGACATTGGACTGAAGGGAAGGGGGGGAGTCTGGCTCCGGACCTCTGCTCAGTGCGACTCTTTGCAGCAGTGCGTCCCATGGGAGAGGCCCCACCTACTCGAAACAGGCGCCCAAAACAGCCAAGATCTGCTCCAGAGGAGGGAGGAGGGGGTGGGGGTTGCGAGGGCCCGCGCCGATCGGCAGAGCAACATGAACAAGAAACGGATCACCTGCTCTTAAGTCGGGCGTGCACCCCTACAGGCGGATTTTCGACGAAAAAGAAACATACGCCAAAAATACTCCAAAATGGTGAAACAAATATTTAAAAAATAGTCCCCACACTGTAGAGGGACAGGCCAGACATGAACCTGCTCCGCACGCTGCTCGGCGGGAGCACCGACGCGATGAGGCGGATCAGCGCGCCTACGTGCCCTGGTGAGGGGGAGCGTCAGAAGGGGAACTGACTCAGTGGGCGGGGGCACGCCGACTTGGACTCGGCGATGCACCGCCGACGCACGGGCGATAGGCAAAAGGTCGGGCACGTCCTCCGACAGGGGGGGATTTTTGACGAAAGAAACAACAATATGCAGAACATATCCAAAAAGACCGACCATGCTATTTTGCTACGTTTGTATATTTTTGGTGTG